AGTGGGTAGAGCACTGGCCCTGGAGTTAGGAGGACCTGAGTTCAAATCCAGTCTCAGACCAGACCCTTGACACTTACTAGTTGTGTGACCCTGGGTAAGTCGTTTAATCCCAATTGCCTTACCAAAAAAAAAAAAAAAATAGTGGAGGATGCAAAGAGTTTTAGGCATGGGAAACAACCAGAGAAAATGCCTGGAGCCGAGATGGAATGTTTTGTTTCTGGGACATCCAGGAGGCTAGTGTAACTGAATCAAAGAGTACCCATTGGGGAGTAAGACATAAGAAGACTGAAAAAATTGGAGGGAGCTAGGTTATGAAGGGTTTTGAATACCAAACAGCATTTTGTATTAGTTCCTGAAGGCAAAAAGAAACCACTGGATTTATCGAGTAGGGGAGTGACATGGTTGGACCTGCAATTTAGAAAAATCACTTTGATTGAATGGAGGATAGATTGGAGTGAGGAGACTTGAGGAAGGCAGAGCTAACAGCAGGTGATTGCAACAGTTCAAGTGTGAGGTGAAAAAGACTTACACTAAAGTGGTGGCACTGTTAGAGGAGAGAATGGGGCATATTTGAGAGATGTTGAAATTAGTGAAATTGGCGAGACTTTGCAATAATTTGGATATGGGTGGTAAGAGATAGTGAGGAATCCAGGATGACTCCTAGGTTTTAGGCCTGATGGTCTGGGAGAATGGTTGCCCTCTACAGAAGTAGAGAAGGTAGGAGGGTTTAGTGGGAACAATAATAAGTTCCATTTTGGACATACTGAGTTTAAAATGTCTACTGAACATCCAGCTCAAGATGTCTGAAAGATTGGAGGTTGTGGGAAAAATGATTATATTGTTTGGGAAAAGTTAATATACTGTTTAAATCTGATCTTATGTGATTAAAGGTTTCCATATCCAGAATGCCACCTGACCCCAGTAACTCTCTAGGAATACTGGAGATGGCTATAGGGTATTTTGGGTTCTCCCAGTTCCTAGATTCACCCAAAGCATTCTTATTTTGGGTTACCACACCCAGGACCTTGTATTTTGGGTTCTCTTGTGTTTTGGCTTCACCCAAATTTTATTTACATTTTATTTACAGTTACTTATATCTATCTTGTTTCAAATTGCCCTCTTGTCAACTTGGCTTAACTCTACACATGACTCACGTGCTAATAATACCCTTGTCTAAATCCTATACAATGCAAACCTTTCAGAGCTTGGATGGGAGGGAGCCACACCTCATTTCCAGCTTGCTCCTCTCTACCAAACAACCTAATACTAGTGCATACCTACATACCTCAGGCCAGCACTTAAGGGTTCTCTCTCTCTCTCTCTCTCTTCCCCTCTCTTTTTTTCCTCTCCCTCTCTCTCACTTTCCTTCTCTTTTCATATGTGTGTGTATATATATACAGATAGAGCTATATAGATATAGCTCTATCTGTCTGTCTGTCTACCTACCTTACTCCCTAAAGTGTTATGTGACTATATTAATTTAGACAATTTTGGCACAGCTTATTCTCAGTATGGAAAATTTACATATTTCAATTTATTGACCTTGGTGACTATGTATGAGTCACCTATTCTCTCTACTTTTCCTAAGTCTCAGTTTCTCCTTCTGTGCAATTCTTGTCCATGTCCTTTCATGATTCATTTATAGAGGATCTACCCAGGTTGCTGAAAGCCTCCCAGTCTTCTAATATTTTATGAATAGCAGTGCCACAATAGAGCTGTCCATTTGCCACTGTTAAATTTTTCTTTTTTAAAAAATTACGATCATTAACACAAACATTCCAATATACAATGAATGGCAAAAGAGAATCGTATGTGAGATCATAAACTGGTATGCAATTTGAGGGTATAGTAGGTTGAACAATATTGCCATGTTTGTCTCATTCTGAAATTTTAGTGTTCTTTGTATTTTTTGTTTAATTGATGCTCCTTTCTTTTTTTTTTTATCTCTATCATGTCTCATAAACACTCTGCCCCCACCAAATAAAAGTCTTCCCCTGTAACAAATATAGCTGGCCTATATCCTTTTCAAGTCATATATGTCCCTGGTGTTTTTTATGCCACATTGCACGAGTCATTGTTAGTAATATATTGTAGCCTACTTATAACCTACCAAACAACTTCTAGGTCACCTGCAATTTTGATTCTTTTAGAAGAATCCATGGATCACAACTATACTATTATTGGGAAAATATTGATTTTTTTAAAAATGTGCTTTGGTAGCAGGGAGGAGCTTGAGATAATCGAAAATACCGTACAATTTCTCCAGTCTGATGTAGCACAATTTGCTATTTAGTTCTAGACCCAGTGCTATCTTCAGTGCCTGAGAGATATTTACTCTGGACCAACTCAACAGGCTATCCATCCAACTGCCACTGTTGGGGAAATGTCCAATCTCTTAGAGCAACTACAATATAAAAACTGTATCTCTTGTGTCTAACATATATTATGAGCACTGCTAATAGTGACTGTTCCCATGATAAAAATCTGACCAGAAGACCAACCTTTACCTTTACTTCTAGTTGGAAGTACCCAGGTGACACACTATACTAGGCATGATCTCTTACAACTTTGCTCCTTTCTAGTGAGGTACATGGAGAAGTGATTGGCTATTCTCCGTAAGCATTGGAGAAAAGAGCCATAAGTAAGCTTTGAAATCCTCACATCATTGACATTTTTAGGATGCCTTTCTGGGATGTATCTTCCTGAACAACCTGTAGTTTCAAAGGAACACTAGGGGAAAACCATCTCCAGTTGTCCTGATCTATATCTCACCCCTGGACCCACTTGCGCTAGAGGACAAAGAGAGGCTGGTGACTTTGCACAGCCTTCCCTCATTTAAATCCAATTCACTTGCATGTCATGGCATCACCTTCCTGAAGTCATGGTCCCCTTTGAGAATGAAAGACAAACAACTTCTATGAAAAGAAAATAGGAGCTGTTCCACTGGGGACCCAAATGGAACTGGCCAGTTGGGCAATACAACACAGCTCTCTCTTTCTCTCTCATTCCCTCGGTCCATATAGGGTGTCATACCTTTACCTGTGGGTGCTCTGCCCAAAGGAATGTAAATTCTGATTGCTGAAACCTTTTTTTTTTTTCTTAAGGACCCCACCTTAAAGCCAAATCATTCTAGTTCTCGTTGTTTGGTCAACAGTAGGTCCCCAGGAAGCCCCACACGATCATTGTTTAGGCCCTAATTGGCTCAGAGTGAATGTAAATAGCAATTGTTTGTCTTTTGGCCGGAAACCCTAAGGGTCTTTTTCTCCCAGATTGATTTTTTTTTAGAAACTAGGTAAGGAATTCATTCTCTGCCTTATTTCTTTTTTTTTTTTTTTTGGTAAGGCAATTGGGGTTAAGTGACTTGCCCAAGGTCACACAGCTAGTACGTGTCCAGTGTTTAGTCTGAGGTTGGATTTGAACTCAGGTCCTCCTGACTTAAGGGTCGGTGCTCTATCCATTGCGCCACCTAGCTGCCCCCTCTGCCTTATTTCTTACCTAGCCTTAATCACCAAACACGTTAAAGACCTTAGCTTAAAAAGGCCAAAGTCTGCATCCCAGGCCATCTCCAGTCATCCTGATCTATATCTTGCCACTGGACCCAGATAGCTCTTGAGGAGAAAGTGAGGCTGGAACTTTTTGCACAGCCCTCCCTCACTTAAATCCAATTCACTTGCATGTCGTGGCATCACCACCCTGATATCATGGTCCTCTTTGACAACAAAGGACAAACAACAATAAAAAGGCGAAAATTTCAGACTAAAGGGAATCCAGAGATCTTGATCTAGAGAAAAAGGAGTACTGTGATTCCGCCTGTGTGCCTGTCAGGCACTACGCAGATGACCACGCCCTCCATTCCTTAGTAGATGGTTTCATAAATTGCTGTCAAAAGCAAGAAAGCAAGGACAAGCAAGTAAAGAAAGTTGGAAGCAGGGAAAGAAAGAAAACAAAGCTCTTGACTTGATAGCCAGCCTACTGGTGATGAGTTTCTCCCAAAGAACAAACAGTTCATTGCCACCAATACTCAGACGTCTTTTCTTTCCAGCTTCTTAGTAGGTAACAGATCTTGCATATAGCCTTTAGGAACCCAAGATCATTTCCATGCCATGTGGGGGCAGCGTAAGGCTTAATAAAGATGCCTAATAAATACTTGAAGTTGGTGCAGTGGAAAGGTCAGTAGAACAAGCATCAGAGCATCAGGAAATCTTGGATCTAGTCCTTCCTATACCACTAACCTAATTGGTTATGTTACAGTCTTTTGAGGGCCTCATTTGCTTCCTTAAAAAAATGTATTGGTCTAGATCAGGTGTTCTTAACCTTTGTTGGTGTCACAGAACCCTTCTCAACATACTGTTTTGTTGCCTAATTGAAGGTGTTAAGTTTCATGTAGAGATTGTTGAAAATAAAGATAGGTTTTTTCCCCATCCAAATTCAGACACTCTGAAATCTATCCAAGCACCTCTTGGGGGTTTATGGATCTCAGGTTAAGAAACCCCCCCACCCCGCTCCCCATCTGATGATGTTTAAGGTTCCTCCCAGCTCCGAAGTTCTGTGGGTCTGTGTATTCCAGACTAGTTGGCAGAGGGAGGGATGCCAGTAATCCAGGTGTCCGGATCGCCCTGGAGTTTATCTAGAGTCAATTTGGCCGAAGACAGTTGCAAATAAAACCTGGTGCTGGTTGGGGTGCGGCGGGGAGGAGGGACGAGTGTGTGTAGCCCGGCAGGGAAACTCCTCCTCTCTCTTTTCTTTCTTTCTCCCTCCACTCGGCAGCTGCCCGGGATATAGGGTATGGTGCTGGGGCTGGTCACCAGCTGGGCTCTGGGCGTATAGTCTCTGGGAGCCCATGCGCACCGCCACTGCCGCGGGGGACTCAAGGTTATGTAAGGAGCGGCGGGAGGGAAAGAGGGAGGAGGCAAAAAGAGGGAGGAGGCGGAGGCGGAGGGAGGGTTCGCCGTCGGAGCTCCCAGCCGCCCCGCCCCCGCCCTTGCCAGGCAGCGGCCCCACAGCCCAGCCAAATGGAGCCACGCCGGGATTGAGTGGGGCGCAGACTAGGAGCCGCATGTGCCAAGTTCGGAAGCGGCTGGAGAAGCTCTTCTGCTAGAAGCGAATGCTAGAGAGTCCCGTCGGAGTGGGAGGCCAGGCAAGCTTGCAAAGATGGGGTGAGTGCGGCGCCGGCTCCTCACCGCCCTTCTGCCTCTTGCTCCCTGCCTTCTTCCCTCTCCTCTTGCCCCCTTCCCTTTCTTATCCCCCCTACCCCAACCATTCTTTCTCCATATACTTCTCACTTTTCCCTCTTCTTTCCTCCTTTCCTACTTGACTGTTCCCTTCCTCTGTCTCCCTATGTCGGGACTCTCGTCTTCCACTCTCCGTAGTGCCTCTTATAGTGGCACACTGCTCTTCTCAGCTTGGAGCTCGCCGGGCAGAGCGGGGCTGAGGAGCACGGTTGGTTCTTCAGCTCTGATCGCCCTCTTGGGGCCAGGTATCTGACCCAGCCCTCTGCCCCTTTATCGATCTAGTCCCCCCAGTTGTCTCATCCAGTCCCGCCCGTCCGGCTTTCTTGAGTGGGTGCTGCGAGGCTCTGGACTGAGCTCCAGTGAACCGGGAAGGGGAGTCAGGAGCGGGACTTACTGGGGGCGGAGAGAGGGGGGTAGAGAACCGAAGTCTGCGGAACCTGGGTGCCCTCCGCCCAGGGCCTCTCAGGAACGGGGAAAGGGGGATGGGGTGGGGGTGGAGCTGTTACTGTAGCGTCCGCCTGATGAGTGAGGCATTGCTAGGCAGCCACAGCTTTGGATCTGGACACATGGGAAAACTGGGTGGGTTTTCCTCATGTCTTTTCTGACATCGACCGCCACAGAACTGGCTAGGTGATGATGTGGAGCGGGCTGAGCTGTTGGGGCATTGACTGGATGGGGCCGGCGGGTGTCGGCGTCGCTGTGCGCACAACTAGAAAGTTAAGTGAGGAAAAGCTGTAGATTCTTCGATCTTCTGGAGTCACACTCTGGTCAAATTCAAGCCCAGGTGCTGTGGTGTTTAACATAAGAAGGTGTAAAGAGTTTTGTTGCTATAATTTCAGTGATTGATTTTATTGCAATCAGCGTGGAAATCAGAGTTCAGACATTTCCCTGGGAGAAAAAGCACTCTCCGCATTCATAAACACAACCCTTCATTCCCCCCCCCCCACTACGCCCCCAAATACGACTGGAGCAACTTTGCTTCTACTCGGAGTTCATTAAGGATGGAGATTCAAAGTGTTCAGCAGACCTGGCTTTGAATGGCAGATTAAGTAAGATTGATTTCACAGGTGTCGCTGGGGTACTTTGATGTTGAATTGACTAATCAGTCTGCGTACACAAACTAATTTAAAAAAACCTGTATTTATTTTCAGCTCCTATTTGGTGTATCTGGGTAAGAGCCATGAGTCACACACAGTCAGTCAGCACTGACTACAAAGCACTCACTACTACGACGAATATTTTCCATTTGTGCAGCAATTAGTTTACACAGCTACTTCATACATTATCTCCTCTGATCCTTAGAATAACTCTTCGAGGTAGGCAGGGCAGCTGCTATTAAACCTATTTTCTAGGTGAGGAAACCAAGGCACAGAGTAGTTAAAAGGACTCTCCCAAGATCACAATGCTAGTAAGCGATGGAGAGAGGATGATTGGAATCCAGGTTCTATGACTCTTAGCCCCGTGCTCTTTGCACTATATCCTGGCTCCCGGTTGAGAAAATGTTAAAATAGGAGTTAAAATAGAATTTCCTTCTCGATTCTGTAATGGGGAACATAGAGCAAATGCAGGGAAAAAAATGGACCCCCCCAATATACAACATTACTGGTAAAAGTCTATAAAACATGTATACACACATGTGTGCATGTATATATCAGACTTTCAGGAGATAGTCCATAAGGCAATTTTGGCTTTTATAGGGACCTCTTTTTTTTCCCCCATGGGGTAGTTTCTTTTTACAACCAGTGTTTCCTTCAGTGGCATGTGTCTCTAGTCCCAAGTTGGAACTCAGAGCATTTTTCCATAGAAACAATGCCATAAATGGTGTTTAGAGGATCTATAGTATTATTCTTTCCCTTCTTTTAAATTTCATAATGTAGACTGTCAAATTGTGTATATAAAGTGATAAAGATTGCTGGGGTATTTGAGTGACCTGAGGTAGAATTTATTAGGAAAACTTCCTAGGGAAGAGAAGGTTTTTTTTTTTTGAATGGAGTTTGAAGGGAAAGAAGGGCAAGGAAGACTTTTATGAGGGGAAACATGAAGACTATGAGTATTCTCAGAGATATTCTTACAGGTTGATAAGCAGTTTGTTTATCCCATTGGTGGTGTTTTGTATATATGATAAATTGATTTTGGTGAGTTTTATGCTCATGGCTACTCTAGTCAGGAAAGCACAGAGTGAATCAGTAATAGTACTGTATTTAGTATTTAGGTTGTATGGTGTATCCATTGTTTTTACACAATGCAGTTGAGCATAGAGCATTTATGCATTTGAGTAACTTGGGTAATTCTCAGTAGACCCTTCATAGAAAATACGGCTATATATGAAGTTTATAGTCTAGTTTATATAGTGCAGCAGACAACCTTACAGTATCTTGGATTTTAGAATTGTTTTTAGGTGATTGGGGAGGAAGAAAGTGGAAAAGTAATCTTCAAATATTGTACAGTTAGCTGTAATCTAGCACCTAAACTTTCTTTTCTTCAACTCTTCATCTCATCCCATCAATTGTTAAAGTCCTTACTAGTGGAAAGAAGAGAGTTGTATAGATATTAAGATGTTCACCAGTAGACCTAAGGAAAATGTTCATACCTCATCTGTGTGTGTTTGAATTACTTGTAAATTTAAAATAAAATTTTGTCTTGGGCAATTTGTTGAGGCATAGTTTAATTCACTATATTTTAAAGATATCAGACATCACCCTTTACTTAGTTATAAGTAACAGGTGTTTTAAAAAATTCTTCTACCTATCATTTCTACCTGCCACCTCTCTCTTCTGGTTGGGCAGAGGTAGACAGGCAGGGAGATGGGAAGCAGAAGAGTTGGCCATATTTCAAGGTCAAATAGATCCTATCTAAATCTTACAGAGAATTTGAGTAGTTGGAAGGGAGAAATGGGGAAAAAAATGACCATCTTGAGAAAAAATTGTGACTTTTTATGTTTTTCATCTTGTGTGACAAAAATTTTGTGAACATAGTTAATCTCTAAGTAACTTAAAAATTCCTTGTCTATTATGGTATATTCAGATTTTTAGGTTTTGCATATTTTCCACTTATCTCCACCAAAGTTACTCTACTTAAAGCTTTAGGTAGATTATCCTTTGAAAAGTCCCTAAGAAATTAGTTTTAAACTATTATTAATAGTAGTGATGTTAATGCTAGCTTGGAAAATGTAATAGCTACCCAGGCTGCTTAGTACTTTTTAAACAGTTTGCTAAATAAGCAATTTCAAAGGAAACCAAAACATACAAAGAAATAGTGTTTGGATGCAATTTTCTTTTAATGTTGCGGTCAGACTTAGAGTTTTCATTATGGTCTTAAAATTTGAAGACTATTGGCCAGATCCTGACTTAACATATTTATATGTTCTTTTTGCTCTGCAACAGAAAAAAAAAAAGAAGTTTGTCTGCCATTCTCATTTAGTCAAGTACATTTTGTTAATTTTTATGAACAAGATCTATTATATTTGTATATCCTTTATATACACTTTTTTTGGGAGTGTATATAAAGTTTACCACAGATAGCATTGCAAGTTAAGGATGATATAATCTTGGTTATCTGAAACTATGGGCTTCTTTTTCAGTAATGTTATACTTTACCTATTAACTTTCCTTTAATGAACATTGCTACCCTTTAACTTTCCATTCTTTTCCTACATCCAAATGTGTGAGTACACTATCGTTATTTTTTTATGATTATATTCACTTAAAACACTAGACACAACATCTTTGTGTAATTTTCAAAGAACATACTGAAGTGATTTGTCGTGTGTGTGTGTTTTGTTGTTTAAAAATACTCAATTTTCTATTCCCTACAATTAGGAAGCAGTGTTTCTTTATCCATAGCTTTTCAGTAAATATTAGTTATGTTTCTTCACTTCATCATCACAGGTCATAAAAGAATAAAAAATGCAGGAATACTCTGTTTAATGGCTTAATGTAATAGTAATCCTGAAGAGTTCTGTGTACATTAAGTTTGTGTCAAGTCAGTCAATAAACATTTACTTAAGTGCCTACTATGTGTCGGGTTCTGTGCTAAGTGCTGGGCATTCAAAGAAAGGTGAAAGACAGTCTTTACTCACAGGGAATTCACAATCTAATGAGGGATACAACATGCAAATAATTATTTCAAACAAACAATATACAGGCTAAACTGGAAGTAACAGGGAAGACTCTAGAATTAAGAGGGATTGGGAAAGACTTCTATAGAAGATGAGATTTTGGCTGGGACTTGAAAGAAGCCAGAAGGTGGAGAAAAGGAGGAACGACATTTCAGGTATGGGGGACAGCCAATGACAGTGAAAATTCACAAAACTGGGAGATGGAGTGTATTGTTTGAGGAACAGTAAGGAGGGTGGTGTCACTAGATCACAGAGCATATGATGGGGTAAGAGGTGTAAAGTATAAGAAGGCTGGATAGCTGGGGTGACAAGCCCAAACCCATCCTTTAGGAAGATCCCTCTGACCACTGAATGGAGCATCATCTGGACTGGGGAGTGATTCATGGCAGGGAAACTAAACAGCAAACTATTGCAATAGTCCAGGCGTGAGGTAATGAGGGCTGGCCCAAAGCAGAGTGGTCACAGTATCCAAGGTATATTCAAGAAATTTTACAAAGGTAAAATTGGCAGGCCTTGGCAACAGATTGGATGAGTGGGGGGGCAGAGTTGAGAGAGTGAGGAGTAGGTGTATATATCCACTCATATTTCATATACATTAAAGGAGCTCCATCTTTAAGGGACTACAATGGTGAATCTTTAGGTAAAGGTCAAAGTATTCACCCATTTCTTAGATACACAAGGTCTTTATATTGCTCTCTAGTCATCCAAAGTCTTCAGCTACCACTCAAGCTTATGTTTCCCAGAAATATTCCTTGTTCCAAAATTATCTCTCCTTTTTCCCTCCTACAACCAAACTTCCATTATCTCC